TATATATATATATATTCCTTGAATGAAATATCTCTTTATAATTGTTGCAACACGGTATAATTGGCTGGTCGAAAGCCAAAATCTCCATTCCATCGTTTCTTTTTCTCTTTTCCGTCTCTGAGAATAATCTGGCGTTCGGCCAATTTATCCGGTTGAAATTTGTTCGATCTAATGCTCGTCTCTTGCTATACGCGTAACATCGAATCGTGAAATAACGGGGTATAATGAATGAATTCAATCAACCCGGCCGCGACTTGGTTCATACGCTTCCGTGGTAATGGTAGATTTATGGTGGTGGCTTTATTTTCGCGTATCTCGATTCGTATGCCATTTCGAAACAGTTTGTGAAATGGAATTACGGTCAGAATGATTTTACACACTGGCAACCCGTTAATGTTGCCGGTTTATTTCGTTGGAATATCGCGCTATTTCCGATCATCGCGTTACCTCGTAGAGGTAAAAATCTCGAGATAGAGACGATTAAGTCGGGCTCGTTCGACTCGAAGAACCATCCCCGCTTTTTCTTGAGTAGGGAGAGAACAAAATCCTTTGGATAAGATTCCGGCAGAGAGCGCCGGAGTAATTGCGGAGAGGAAGAGAAGGATTCTTTCTCTCGTACTTTGACGCGATTATCTCGGCTACACTTTTTTCTTTTTTCTTTTTTTTCATCGTCTACATCTTTCTATCCTTTAGGATTTATCATTGGAAAAAAAAAGAGAGAGAGAGAATACGAGGCTTTTGATCTTTCTTTTAGAATAATGGAGGTTCTTGTAAGTAAAAATTAAGAAGATATTTTATCAACAGAGCTAATGCAACGATGCATTAGGATAAATGTATCAAGAAATGTGTTAGAGCGCGAACGAATTAAAAGTCGATTATAGTTCTATTCTTCTTCCCTTCGATTCTGTGAAATCGTGCATTATCGCAAAAAGGAATCATCCTATAATTTTCACGAAATGTATGGAAAAGGAAGACAAAGGAAATCTTCGTAAACTTAAATTTTTATTTCATTTTTATTCTAAAGAAGAATAAAACACACGATATGAAAGTTTAATCACGTATTTTGGAAACGTTTTATATAAAAATCACATTTCAAAGACAATTATTAAGATATCTGGGATTAATTTTAAAAGTCAACGATGGAGAAAAATTCGGAGTTTGCAATTTATCGACTATTAAGAAACAATATCGTTATGAAATTGAAGTGTTACTTGAATCAAGATTGAATCCTGCGAAATGTTCATTAGTGTTCACCCATGTGAAGCACTTTATAGAGCTAGGTTACAAACTATTGTGCTATTGTGTTGTACGTGGTTTGATGCAACGGGTAATGGGAATGGAGAGTAAGAACGGATTGGATAACCGAGAAAACATAAAGTATGTGGTACGATTCTTGATTGATTCAGGTGTCGTTGCATGAAGAAGTGGCAGTTGAAACTTTACGATAATTGAAAATCCTCTTTCTTTGCCTCCTGTATAAAATCACGATTCAAGTTCGCCTCCTGGTCTATCGCCGCTATACGGTGACCTGTAAAAACAGTTAACGACAATGGGACACCGATGGATTATAATTTACGAACTATAATACAAAGAGATATTAAAGCATCGTAGAAGTTAACAAAACTACGAAAGCAATTATTAATTGTATAGAAAATTTTATAGCAAAATTGAGAGGGATTATATTCTTATGGAATTTCAATATAATAATTTCTCTCTTTCTCTCTCTCTCTCTACTTTTCTTTGCTATTTATTCAATAAAATTTACGATCGGTTTTCAATAAACTTGTCATTTGAAACCGAATAGTGGTTTTGGAATTTTTGTAAATTTCTGCAATATCGATTTCCTTATTAGATATAGGAAAACTTTTATTATCGGGCATAAACGATGGTCGACCGTATAAGTTTTTAATAAACGGGACAGATGGAATTTATTTTCCTTTGAAATCCAACACATATTTTCTTACTTAACGGAATCTAATATTCCGAAGCGCAGATTTAAGATCATTCTAAATTAAATTCGCTTTTAAAAAAATCATTTCACACTTGATAGAATCCAATATTCGCAATTTGCACACGATCTAATCAATCGTATCGATGTTAAACGAGCGTGTATCCAACGAGAACGAGATTTTAAACGCAATTTTAATCTAATTTATCCCGGAATACGCAACGAGGCAAGTAGCTTTCGCAACCGGAGAGGAAATCTCATTGTCTCCCGCTGGAGAAGCGTATCCTGTTTTCTGACGAGGGTTACCCACGCGTTCATTGTACAATCATTGCGTTATGCGAATACACGATAATATCATTTCCGGAAGCCCGGAGGAATCAGACCCTCTCTTCTCCATACCACCAAGGATCCACGTGCATCACGTGCCTCGTTTCTTTTTTCCCCTCCCTTCCGCCACTCCTGCTCGAGTACCTACGTTGAATCTGCTGAAAGGGATGACGTGGAAGATTCAATTTCCAGAGAAAAACGAAAAGATCCTTTTCAGACTGGATTTTAATTTTCCGCTCTCTCTCTCTTTTTCTCCCTCTCTCTTCGAGGCAACACGGAGTTTCGATTTTACTTCGAGATTCGTATTATCGACTAATCATTTCCTTGATATTTATTGTTGCGATTCTGCGGTACGTTTCTGGAGAACGATCCAGTTTTATTTTGATAAGGAATAAAATGTTCAAAGTTCCGATCCGATCGATGAATTCCTTTTTTATTCCCGGTAATTAGAGATCTCGTGGTAAGATTCGATGCTTGCTCAAGTCCAATCCGGTGAAAAGATTTCGTTCGTGTAAAAGTAATACCCATGAAAAATCGAAGATATATCGGTAAAGGAAGGAGGAAGGAAGGAGAATTTTTCCTTCGGAACGAAAACTTTCACTCCTCGATATCGAAAGAATAAATTCATAGCCACTTTATATTAAATTTCACGGAGTAATTTCGGGGATCGTTTAACCGGCTTGTCTGCAAAGATTCGAAAATTTGTGGAAATACGAGGACGGATGCGAGGAATGAAAGATGGAGGAAAAGGTTACAACAGTTTTTCGGGATCTGTGAAAATTGCGATCTCTCTTCTCGCAATTAGTCTTCTCACGGCGGAACTTGATTTTCGGTCATCGACCTCGTTACAGAGTCCGTTCGAAATTTCTGCGCGAAGGCGTCCAATAAGTCGTTGAAACGTAATCGAATGTTGTTCGCTCGGAAAAAGTTCGAGTCGATTCGCAATCAGAGGAAAAAGGAATTAACGCTTGATTACTGGAGTCTGTAGGATAAAGGGTAACGAAGAGCGTATTCGAATTCGCAATAAAACGATCATTTTTCATGGAAAGTGTTACTGGGCAGGTTTTACAAAGTTGGTCGACGTTCTCCCCGTTCGTACAAAGCGATCGTTGAACCGTGAAACATTGTCAAACAGTCGACGATGGTGATGGTCGAAACGAGAACGAGCGAGGAAGGAATACGTTGAGGAATACGTGTTAGAATTTGAAATCCAATTGGCCATAGTTGAGGAAATATTAGTTTTTGCGATCGTGTTATTCGAAGTCGGAACGCTGCCAACCACCTGCTACCGTTTTGATTAAACGAACCACAACAGATCGATCGAGTTTGCCTCGTCCAAGAAGCAAACTCTTCCCAAAAATTACTCATCGAGGATACGCTACGTTCAATAATACTTTATCATGATGAAACTTGCCGTGTTTATCATTTCCAAAAAATGGTGACGAAATCAGGAAGATTAACATCCACGAATTTAAAAGATAAAAGACATGGAGCATCTTTCTTTTCTCTCTCTTCGTACGCTAAATTTTATATCTCATCGATGAAACAAATTAATTTTTCGTCTCGAAAAATCATTTCCATCCTTCATTTCACTCGCTGAAGTGACAGAGATTGAATATTCGTCAATCGATTAACCTCTCTTGAGATAGATAAATTCGACAAATTCGACGGAGGGGTTGAAAGCATGTCTCTCGGCAAACACCGTTCTTACATTTCCAGAAGAACGTTCTCAACAGTTTCTGCCAATTTTTCAACACTGCTCGAACATTTCTCTTTCACGAGCAAGCCGTTGAATTATTACGACGGCGTCGACACGGTACACCGCCGCTTAATAATAAACGCGTCCGCTGGAACAGCCGCAGAAACGATTTTATCACCGATCGACGCGGTAGTAAGAGAAACGATCGTTCGCCGACCAAACGTAGCGAACGTAAAATCAGCTGACTGAAATTGCCACGATCGTTTCGTTTACGAAAGACGAACGGCCCAGAAGACCGCGTTCCGGGCTAAGGGTAGATAGACACGGGACGTAATTCGTCCCACCCTGGTCGTAATTTTGCCTGGGGAAGGATACGCCGCGCGTTATGGGTGTACGATTGTGCGCGAAGGTGTGAATATAGGATATGGTGGACGCGCTATTCCGTAATTAGACCGCGTAATTACACCGTTTTGCGCCCGGTTTCGTCGCCACGTCGGTGGTGGAAGGGCGTGTCGCTCTAACCGCGCCGCTGCTCTCTTTTGTACACGCGTCGATGAAAGGAAAAGGAGGAGGCGCGACCGAAACGTTACAAGTGTACCTTGTAAATTATACTTGCAAACACTCTCGAACGGATTCTTTGTCTGGAAGGTTCTGGGATGGGTTCTTGAACGAATCGAACGATCCTCGGTCTGGAATTTCGCGGTCGACGTACGAGGTGGATACGTGCGAGTGACTCCAAGTCGGATGTAAATTAGCAAGTATGGTGGAAGATTTGTTGGTGGGATCGATTTGTAAATGGAAATTGTATTCGAAGAATTGTAATATTTGAATATTCCTGTTATGTTTTCTATTAAGTTTCCATTCAATCTTCACGGTGTAGATATTACATTTAGGATAATAATAATCGATCACGATAGTTTTTATTTATACGTAGATTTAATATCTACTTGAAGAGAGTGAAATCAAAAATCGAAGTTAGAAGAGCATTAATTTTACGCAGATATAAATAAATAAATAAATAAAATGTTCTTTTAAGGGGCTCGCTCCCTTAAAGGAAATTAAATGAATTTACTTTTAGTCGCAAGATGATTTGTTCCGTGCGATTGTTCTCGTATAATAAAGGAGATTTTCGTATTTTCAAAACATGATACGAATACTATTCTCGAGTGTTTTGCAACAAGCCCACTCCTTTATTTAAAGAGACACGTGGGCCCTCGATACAAAGCCGTTGTAGGCGTCAGCGAATTCCATCGAGGCTTCATCGGCGTCCCATCTTAATTTTTTATCCCCCTTGTCGTTTTATGCACGCCCCTTTCTCTGCCTCGCGTTTAACCTTTCATCCGTACGAAACGTACGAAACGAATCGGGTCAGGCTGAACTTGAGGATTTATTATTCCGTTATTACATCGATTGAGAGCCGTACAAAAGCCGTAATGATCGTGGTAACCCCGAGGCGTTTGAATTAATTCGATTATTAATTCTGTCATCGTTGCCCATTAGTCGAATACTGATTCGCCCCGGGAGAATCTTAACGGATCTCAACGCGGCGTTTGATATTCCAATTTCGTTTCTTCCGTTAATAAACGCTTCTGAAATTGACATCGAGGATGAATTTTTTGTCCAAGGGATGGAACATCTCTTTGACCAGCTTTCGAAGCTTCGTATGCAATTAATTCGAGGGTTAATACTTTACATTCCATGTTGAAATCGATTGAAATAACTTCAATCGAGATAATCGAGTATCGTCAAACAACGTAAGAATTTTTTGTGTTTTGGCTTATTTATAGTGGTTTGAACGAATTTCAGAGCGTTTTTATTCAATTAAATGAATATAGTCGACGACTACAGTGGTTCGAATATTTAGTCCTTCGATACGAGAGAGGCGGTAATTTAAATTATTAACGTGGCGCGTATATGTGTGCGCATCACGCATAACATATATGCACAACATACACGCTACATATACGTAGACACGTATCCCGTGATTGTGAACCTTCTCGTGTAATTTCGCGTCACGCGAGCTTTAGCGAAATAATTCACTTATAAACAAATTTCCTTTCTCACGAAAACGCGTCCTGAAGATTCTTGTAATCCCTTATCGTTCTCACGCACGACAAAAAATTATTCGAATATCAATGACAATGATACGGCTATACTATTGACGAAATTACTTTAAAATTACTTTTTTTTTATAGTAAATTAAGTAGATCTAATCGGTAGAAAATCAAGGGAAGAAAAAAGATAAAAGAACGACAATCATGCGAGCGTAACTTTCTCGAGTTAGCAGCGATTCCTTTACAAAGCGGTATCTCTCTATTAAAATCAGCTATCATCAAACACCTGGAATATAACCAGTCATTATCAGTGAAAGTCGATGTTTATCGACGTCTATCTTGCAGATGCGCGTAAAGGAAACGAGCACAAAGAGTCGAGCGCACTCTTCGAGAACCACCGAAAAATCCTATCTTTTCATACGCGTGGGCATAAATGGTTTTCACGTAACACCATTCATTATACCGTACAAGAGCTTCATTACCGGAGGAGCGGAAAAGTTTGGTGCGTACGCACGAAGGGGTTCGCGAAGGCCTTTTAAACCGTGCAACGCACAAAAGAATTCGAAGCAATTACGCACGAGACATTAAGCCCGAACAGTATATGCGAGTAACACAAGGAACACGGCCGTGCGTCTTTGATGTGAACGATTCAATGCGGGGTAACATACTCGACCGATGCTCGCTTTGATGTAAAAGCGAAATTTTCATTTCTCTCTCGGTGGCCTTGATCATTCCACTCCTTTCCTTTTCGCGACACTCGTTAGGGGCTTCCCCTCGTGTACATTACGTGTATGTACAGGCTTTCCACACACCGGACACTGAATGGTCGGGATGTCGCCATTAAGTAGATCCACGTGGTTGGTTCTTGATATAATTCGAATTCGG